TTTTTTTTTTTTATACAATGGAGTACTACTTGGCCACAAGGAACAATAAGTAAATGGATGTTCTCGAGACCATACTCGTAAGTGAAATAAACCAGACACACATGTTCAAACATCATATTGTCTCCCTAGTGTGAGAAGCTGAAAGAACAAATAAGATCCAAAATGTATAATGGATAGTGTAAAATGGGAAGAAAGTGTTCAAAAGCAAAGAGAAAGCAGAATGGGGGAAGGAGAAAAGAAGGAAGGGAAAAGCAAATATATTGTTATACTACTAATTTCACTTAGTTCACTGATGAGAAAGGTTTGTGCTAATGTTGTTTGGACAATTAAATGTGTAATTTTGTACTCTGAGTAACTAAAGATAACAATACACAATGTATTAACCATTACTACTCTTTTATTACATTATTTTGAAATTTTTATTTTACTATTTTTTCTTTTTAAAATAAAATTAAAAAGAAAAAGAAAGGTCCCATCTATTTCTTGTTTGCAATGAATGAAAACTAAAGTTTATTGATGCTTTTTCTGCATCTGGTGGAATGGCCAGTTTTTCTCCTTTATTCTGTTCATACAGTAAATTACATTGATGTTCTTTTTTTTTTTTTAACACAGATTTTCAAACAGAAGGCCAGCCTTCAGAAAGACAATGGTAAAATTGCTGAGGACAGTCAGAAAGCATCCTAACGGGTACGTGTTCTTGGCAGAGCAAAGAATGGATGTCCTGAGACTGAGGACGTAAGATACCCACAGTCTTTGTCTCTAGTATACTCAGCAGCCCTTGGAGACAATGAACTTGATCACCATACCTTACTTCCTGCCCGAAGAGTATCCACCCTGCCAAGGAATCACAGGAGTAGAACAACCAAAGAGAAAATCAAGGTCTAGATTCTCCAGGGAGAACCTATGCTCTGCTGAAAGCCCATTTTCTGGTGAAAATCTCAAGGAAGGCTGCAACCACAGAAGATGCTGGGCATAGAGGCCAAAACTTTGTACATGACGCCTGACTACCTGGGTTCAAATCCCGGCTCTGTCTCATACCAGCTGAGTGAATTTGGACAAATAACTTTGCTCACAACTAACATAATCAGTAAAGATGCTTGACATAATGGCTGATTCATAGATGTATAATAATGATAATTAGTGTTTATAATTTTGCTCCAAACATGTTATGCTTAAATTTCAAGATCAAAAGTATGAGTGTGCGGTTAACATTTTAAGCGAACCTCTGAATCCCTTAGAAATGCATTTGCATTCTGCATATAAAACAATGAAAGGCTAGTGGATTGAGTAAATTACTGGTGGTAGTTTATATTTTTAAAATAGTAATAATGAGGCTGATCATTTCTCCCACTTATCCTCCCATATTGCTTATAAACTTTACAAATAATTTCCATTTTAGCTGTTTTGAGGCAAAGCTTATAAATCATCTTTACAGTATGTGTAATTCTAAGAGGCATCCCCCCTCCCACTGACTCTGCTGTATCACCTGAATATTTAATAGTTCTAATTTTATATTTTAGCACAAGTTCCAATTTCGGTGGAGTGGAAGCACGCCCCTGCCAAGCATGCTGAAGCCATAACCCCAAGGTAATGGCGTCCGGAGAACAGGCTTTGGGAGCCGATGAGGGTAGAGCAGGTCATGAGGCAAAGGTCCCCGTGATGGGACTAGTGTCCTTGGAAGCAGAGTCGCCAGAGGGCCTGTCTTTTTCCTCTCCCTTTTTCTCCCTATCTGCAGCCCTGAGGATCACTCAGGGCCTCATGCCTTCTCAGCAAGCACTTTACCACAGAGCTACCTCCCCTTCCCCCAAATCTATTTCTTAAATCACCCAGATATGGTATTTAGTTGTGGTAGCCCAAGCTGGCTAATAGAATATTATATCCCTGGTTCTTGCCATTGTGGAAAAATAAAGATTTTTAGCCTTTTCATAGCCAGGAGTGCCTCTGACGGTCTGGTATAGCCTAGGTCTGCAGCTCACAATAATGTTGTATATAAAGTAATACATAATAACAATGATAACACATCTTTGTTGGAATAATATATGAACATCTTCATTAGCACATTAAAAAATATCATCTAATAGCAGGTGTAAAACCTGCTAAAAACTACATAAATGGCACCATTCCAAGACAACAACACCAACCACAGGCCCAGGAAATATCCGACTTTTCCTGTTGACAAACACGGGGCTTCTGTTAGGCCTAAGTGTGGATCGCTTCTCATTTTAACCATCAAAAGAAACCTCCACTTCAGCTGGTGCTCAGGAAAAGCCAGGCTGCACTGTACTAGGTCTGGAGGCCTCAGCGGAGGCGGCGTCTGGGCAGGGCCAGCACCGTGCAGGCTGGGTACCTTCTATGCTGCGAATGTCCTCCCGCCACAGCTCCAGGTGTCTGGTCATCTCATGAGCCTTCTCCACGAACCTCTTCCACGACTTGCTGCTGTACCGCTTCCACTGGTCCCACTCGGACAAATACTTCATTTGGGTCTCTTGAATGGCTCTGCATTAGAAAAGAACCATGACAATGACAAGAGCAGCAGCATCTAAACTCGGCCTCAAAATAAACTCGAGCCAAGAGCTCTGAGATACAGGAGCTAGAATGGACAATGGTGCAGCCACTGTGGAAAACACTTGGGCAGTTCCTCAGAAGGTTTATCACGGAACTACCCTCTAACCCAGCTGTCAGGTGTGATCCTGGAAGAACTGGAAACATGGTTCTCATACACAGAAAACACCCTGCTACCTATGTTCACAATGGCCAAAAAGTATAAACAACCCAAATGCCCCATCAATGGAAAAATGGATACACAAGATGTGGTCTATACATACACTGGAATATTATTTAGCCATAAAAAGGAATGAAGGACTGACACAACTGCAAACTGAGAAAAGATTCAAAACATTACATTGAGTGAAAAAACAAGCAGAAACAAAAGGTCACATATTACATGTCTTCATTTATACAGAATGTCTAGCTTTGGGAAGTGTACAGAGATAGAGTCGGTCGGTGGGTATGTAGGACTGAGGTGTGGAAAACATCAAGCAGCAGCTTAATGGAAGCTGACAAAATCATTCTACAGAGCCATACCTGTACTCTTTCCCCATCCCAGAGTCAATTTGGTCTCCCCAGAAGACCCCTTCTCTTAAAAACCATATCCTCTTCAATTGTGTTTGATTAATGTCTGTCTCTCCCAATATACTGCAAGACATTTCAAGGCCAAGGATGTATGGTCCTTCCTGTTGCATCCTGGGCCCGAGACAGAGGCCGGAAATTCTACAACAGTCCTGACCCTACCTGCTCTGCCCACCTCCCCTTGCATCCCTAACCCTAAGCACAGCACCTGGTGTACAGCAGGTTCTCAGTAAGCATCAACTGCCTGATGAACACACAGTCACATGATTAAAATGCACACTACTCCTATATTCATAGGAAGTGAACTGTATTCCCGAGCATGGACTACAGGTAGGTAAAACAGACAGATGACAGACAGATAAACAAGTAGTTATAGAGAGATATGTTCTAGCCTTATGGCCCATCATTGTCTACAGAATAGAAAGAGCATCCCTCAGGCTGGAACTTCCAGGCCCTCTCAGGCAGGCCCTGGCTCCGAGACTCCTCCGGCAAGCAAGGACTTTACTGTTTCCTGCCCTTGGGGTCTTCACATTAGCCTCTCATTACTCTGAGTATCTATCTACACATTTTTTTCTTCTTCCTGCTGTTAAAATCCTTCACACCTCCATCCATCTAGCCTCTTACTATCCTTATCCTTATGAGTCAGGCACAGAAATGGCCTTTTCTTTTTCCAATACTGGGGACTGACCCCAAGGTCTCTGTACTGGTTTGTGTATTCAGCCTTTCATATTTTGAGTTAGGCTCTCATTAAATTTCTAGGTCGGACTCAAACTTGCAATCCTCCTGCCTTTGCCTCCCTGAGTGCTGGGATTACAGGTGTGTGCCACCCTCTTAATCCTAAACAACTGACCCTTGGGGCTGGGTAACCCTTTCCTCTGGGAGCTCTCCTGGATGCTACTGGATGTCTGGGAGCATTCCCGGGGCAGCTCATCAGTTCTGAGCAACAAGTGTATCTCCAGACATTGTCAAATACTCTGAATGCCCTCCAGCAAGAACTGCTGGCCTTCAGGAAGCCTGAGAGGGCTGACAGTCTAGGACAGGGACTAGCAGTTAAGGACCCAGGGACTAAGCCCTCCAGCCTGCAAGCTATTTTTAGTGTTTGCATTTTTAAATGGTTAAAAGAAATCAAAACAAGAATGTTTCATGACATAAGACAGTCACACAAAAGTCAAATGCCACTGTCTGAAAATGAAGCGTGACTGGTGCAGAGCCAGGCGAGGTTCCCTATGCAACCTCTATCTACCGCTTTCCTGCTATAAAAAGTGGGGCCGAGCACCTGCCACAGACGCGGCGTGGCCTGCAGAGCCTGAAACTTTTACCGCCTGGTCCTTCACAGCGGAGCCTGCACATCCTGACATCCTGCAAGTGCAGCTCTCTGGGGGGAAGCAGCAAGAAGGGAATAAGTCAGGGGCTCTGGAGAAGAGGAGGGGGGTGACAAGAGCTGCAGGCAAGAGAGGAGGTGTGGGGAGTCTGGGATTGGAGGGGGTGTGTGTTCATTCCCACTTCAGGTGCTCAGCCAGTGACATGTCCCCTACCCCACGTAAGCACGGTCTTCTAGCATGTGACTCAGCCTCCACCTGCCCTCCCTCCAGCCCATCTTTCTGAGGACAGGGAGCCCCTGTCAAGGGAAGGGCTTGAGCCTTTCATTAAATAACACAATGGGGTAAACAAAGTACATATTTAATCAATGGCTCCCAGCTGGGGCTAACTTCCCACCACCCTCTCTCTAGGGACAGTGGGAAATCACCTAGGGACATTTAATTTTTCTTTTTTTTAGTTGTCAAAACTGTGAGAGGAAGATGCTACTGATGCTGCCAAATATCTCACAATGCACAGATAGTGCCCCACAGCCAAGAACTATCTGGCCCCAGCACTCAGGAGGCTGAGGCAGGAGGAGAACTGCCAAGAGCTCAAGACCAGCGTGGGTTACACAGTGAGACCCTGCCTCAAAGAAAAAAAAAAGATTAAACATCACCAAAGTCCATGTGCTTTCAAAGCTGAAAAGCAGAGGACATCCCCAAAAGTTTTTATACCACTGGATGGCTCTAATGGGAGCTACACTTACCAGGTGAAAAGGACAACTAGATTTTGAATTCTACAGCAATAGAGAAAATAGTAAAATACCACCAAAATTCACTCTCCCCTTCTTTGATACTAGTGACATTTCCCAGCCTCCCTGGCAGTGAGATATGACTACACTGCTCACCCCAGCTGGTAGTGGAGTGACATGTGCAGCTTCCAGGCCTGCCTCACAGCAGAGCCCTGCCTCCCCGAGCATCCCTGGCTAACGTGCCCCAGTGGGAAGTGACTGGGCACATCTTTCACTACCAGAAGGAATCTCTTCTCCTGGCCATTGACTAGACTGGCTGTGAGATCCACGTCGACCACAGAAGGCAGCGAAAGGGACGCTCTCCCTCCAGCCCCAGAGGATGTACAGGCTTCTGCTTCTCTCTTGGGCCCCAGCTGCCACCACGCAAACAAGTCTGTGCTGACCTGATGGAGATGGACTATGTAATGACCCAGGTGAAGCCTTCCCCACTGGCCCAAAACCCACCCGATCGCCAGCCAGCAATAACCACAGGTACACACAGAGCCTGAAGCTGGAAATGTCCAGCTGACTTGTGAAATGGTTGTTTAAGCTGCTAAACTGTGGGTGACTTATTACACAGCGTAGCTAACTGATGCACTCACTCTTGCATATCAATCCCTTTCCCCTGGTGGATCTAGAACATAAAGTTTTGAGGGAGGAGAGTACAGACTCACAAGACAGAGGAGCCAGTGTAAAGTCCCCACTGACCCAAACTTTATGCAAGCAGGAAATAAATTTATAATTTGTTGAGCTATTACATGTGCATGCATCTGCCACAGCAGCTCAGCACAGCCTGAAGAATAAGTTTCAGTTGGGTGGGCTCTTGAGGAAACGCACTCCACGCAATGCGCACTTGCCCACAGCAGCCCATGCCGTGTCTAGGCGGCTGCCCAACAAACCTCAGTCTCCGCTTCTCAGAAATGTTCAGCGCGTACTTCCGAATGGATTGGCTATTGAGGTTTTCAGTGATTTCTCCCTCCAGATGGGAACCACAAGAGTCTGCCGGCTTCAGTAATATGCCACTTTGTTTGTCGCGGGAAAGTAGGGTTGTCCTCCTTCTTGCAATGGACCGGTAGCTTGGCAATTCTTGGAGGAAGTTCACAGCCGGAGAGAAGCAGCTGGAGTCCACAGAGAGGTTTTCTGGGAAAGAGAAGAAGAGCATCCTTCAGCCCAGACTTTGGGAACAAAAAGCAACAGCTGTACAGGACACGGATCCTGGAGAACATCACTAACCCTGCAGAGGGTCTCTAGCCTGAGCCAGTGACAAAAGCATTTGGATCTTGTCTTAATTTACCATGACGGCACTCAGCACAATGAGATCACCTGCCAACGGGTCTACTCTCCACAGACGGGTTTGCAGACATGCTATAAGTTGCATGATAGCTCTGAGTTCTAACGTTTGGCCATAGTCACTAGCTCAGTGTGTAGCCCATTTGTCAGATGGGGCTGGAAATGTTTCCTCCGACTATCCTCACACAGCGCAGGTATAAGAACATACTGCACTCTGCAAAACGCATCATGCACTATGTAAATGCACGTGAATAACTACTTCAACAGCAGGAGCGCTGGCAGCATTTCCCACTTCAGGCATCGCGCCAGGAGCGTCACACCAGCTCCTGGGCTTCTGCTTAGACAAACAGAACACAGCAGGGAGCTGCTGTGCCACGGTGACCTGCTGGGTGGAGAGCAGCCATCGCAGACCAGCCTTCAGCCAGCCTACGCCTGCTGACCGCACAGGCCCAAGGCCAGTACTATTATTACCTCCACGTTACAGATGACAGAATAAGTCATCAAAGCCCTGCACAATCTGCCTCCTTCCGCCCACTCTGGCCCTGCAGGCTCTCAGCTCTCCAATCACACATCTTTTAGGATCTTTCAGATGCCGCTGCAGGTCCAGCTCCCTTCACAGGTGCTGTTTCCTTTACCTGGAACAAACCTGTTGTGCCTGTTTATCCTATGAACTCTTACTCGAATGTCACTTCCCAAGGAAAGTGTCCCTGCCTCTCTGCACTGTTATCCCATTATCCATTTTTCCAGTAAGGCCTTGATAGTATTAATCACAATCAGCAATAACCTACATATTTGTGTGACCACACATGTGTGTTTCGTCCACCTCCCATCAGACTGGAAGGTCCCAGGGGGCAGGGACCATGTTGACGTCCTCACCATCGTGGCCTAGGACCTACCACTGTGCCTGGCACACAGTAAGTGCTCAGTCAAAACCTACAGGATGGACAGAAGGGTGAAGGCATCGCTCTTCTGGCTGTGTCAGAGAGCCTGCCACTGAGAGCTCTGGAGGCAGAATCAGGTATCGGACTCTTAAACCCATTTCTACTGCATGAGGCCACAGCTGGGGTCACATTTCACTGTGCCCCTGAGGTGCTCTTAGGCAGTAGAGCATTCTGTCAAAGATGAGGAGTTTTATACTTTATCAGATTTTGGTTGTGGGAAGGACACTGAGGCCAGCCAGACAGGAGGACCCAGGGACAGAAGGGAGGAGACAGCCCAAATCTTCCAAGCAGCTACCCCCATGGGCAGCAAAGCTCCTATGACCTCACAGTAGAGGCTGAATTGCTTGAGTCTGAATCCTGCTCTGTCCATTACGAGCTCTGTGTCTTTGGGAAAATTATGTAAGTTTCCGTGTCAAACATTTATCCAACAAGTACGTCTATCTACCTTATGTCCTGAGCTGGGGTTATTGTGGCGAACAAAGCGAAGGCCCCGCTCACGTGGCACTTATATTCCGAGGTGGCAGAGGGAGGTCAGACAGTAAGCAGACAGTAACTATGCCAGGACCCTCGAGGACTCACACCAACGTTCCTCTGCCTCTTCCCCTTAAATCTGAGCAGGACCTGTGACTTGCTTTAACCACGGGACACAGAGGAGCAGTGCTCTCCCCACTGTGGCACCAAGTCAACATCTGGGGCACAGGGCTGCCATCTGGAAATCCAGTCGTGCTGGGCCCACATGGGGAGGAAGAGGCCCGAAGCCCACAAGAAGGCAAACTCAGCTCCAGCTTCGACCCCAGCCCCGGAAAGGGGCTATTGGAGAGGCTGTGGCCCTGGCAGGCACCACATGCAGCGATGCACGCCATCTCCTCTGCACACTGTTGAATTTCTGACACTCAGAATCCGCAAAAATCACACAGTTTAAGCTACAATGTACAGAGAGGTTCACGAGGTGACAGTAGGTCTCTGGGACAGGACAATGGAAAGGCAGAACTCAGAGAGGTCAGATAGGGTCAAACCCAGTTGGGCTTTGCAGGCTGTGGTGTGACTCAGACTCAACAGAGGCCTTGGAAGACTCCACAGGGTCTGGGCTGGAGAATGTCATGGTCTGACCATGGTTTTTTTGCTGTCCATTTGTGGTACTGAGGACCGAGCCCAAGCCCTTTACACTGAGCTATAGCTCTAGTCCTCTTAATTCTGAGCCAGGGTCTCCAAGCCCCATCCTCTGGCCCCAGCTGCACAGAGTGCTGGGATCACAGGCCTGCACCACCATCCCCACTTGGCTGTATTTTAACAGGGACACTAAGAACAGGCCTGGGCACTGTCCATACACTCAAAGGTGATCACAAGTGTAGGTCTAGGACAGTGCCTGGTATACTACAGGCTCCTCAGATGCTCCAGTAGGATGAGGCAGGGCTGGGGGACGGCTGGGAGCCCCAATCAAGGCCCTGCAATGACATGCAGGTCTGCGATCTCTGCCCCTCTCTAAAGAGCATGTTCAGACACAACAGAACAAACTGCAGAGGAATGACACATAGACACGCACCCCTAGGCTCTGCTGAGCACTCTCATTTCCCAGTCCAACACACCCTGCAGATGTGACAGGCAAGGAGCCACTCCTCTCTCTGGGCAGCAACAAAGAACGATTATTAACCAGGAACAAAGGTCTTTGACTATAGAACAGCAGGGACCTACTGAATATTCAGCAACTGCAGGGTCAAGGACCCAGGGCAGGGCCCAAGCCTGGCTGGCTTGTCACCTGCTGTCAGTCACCCCAGGAGAGATGAAGCTGTCCTGGAATCATTTTTTTCCCATCTCAGGAAGGAAGGATATAATGCTTAGGACCTTATCCATGCGATGGTGAGGACAGAGGTACAAACAACATAAGCAGAACTGAGTCATTGCAAGAGAGTAGCCAGGCCCCTTGGGACACTTGGTATAGCATCAGCGTGCCAAATAATCCCAACTTCTCCTGGAACAGAACTACAGCCCTACTTTACAGATGAAGGAACTGAGGTGGCTGCCCATTTACAAAACTAGCAGCACTGGGTCAAGGGGCCTATCCTGGCTTATGAGACCCCAAAACTGCAGCCTTCCCCCATGAGGGCCATGGATGTGAAAGTGCTTCATAAATACTGAATGCTATCCAAACCTAGGAAACAGACTGGTCTTCACACACCCCTACCCCGTGAACTTAATCTGTTCCCATCACTCAAAGGGCATCCAGGGTGGAAAATGATTTTCTTTCCTTTTTTTTTGAAAATGATTTTCAAGTGGCTGCCATCGAAGACATATGATCTGTAACTTTTAGTCACTCAGGGGAGGTTCCTTATCTTTAAAGAAAAAATATCTGATCAGCCAGGTTACAGCTGCAACCCCAGCACTTAGGATGCTGAGATAAGAGGATCAAAGTGAGTTCAAGGCCAACATGAGCTGTACAACAAGACTCTATCTCAAAAACGACAACAAAATCTGACCAACACACACCTGTTATCACAGGACTCTGGAAGCCCCAAGCAGAAGAATCACAAGTTCAAGTCCAGCCTGGGCAACTTAGAGACATAGTGAGACTTTGTCTTAAAATTTTAAAAAAGGTTGAGAATATAGTTCATGGTGAAGGCCCTAGGTTCAATCCCCAATACAAAGGAAGAAAAAAATCTAACCATTCAATGATAAAGGCATCACTATTTTTATAATTAGCATCCACCCACTCTCGCTTGCACATACACCACATGTTTTTTAAAGTATGACATCACCTGGTTTCTCACGCCCACCTGCCCAGGAAGGCACAGGAGGCTGTACTGCCCTGGCTTTTCACCAGGGAAACTGAAATCCAGAGACACCATGACTCGTTCACCTGTCTGATACCAAGACAAGACCCAGTTACTGCTCCTTAGAACAGCAGATCACCTCACCTGCCTGAGCCTTGGCAAGGAAAACAGGAATAACTCATGCCAGTTACTGTCAGTTGTCCCGTGAGCTGGGCCAGCCACAGCTGCGCATGCCAGTGTACGGGCTGTTTGTTGACCTTTACACAAAGGTCTGAAGGAGCCCATTTCAGATATCAGGGTTCCTCTATCCACGAATGCTTAGAACTGCATGGCCACTGAAGCCAGATTTCAGCAATAAGGAGGCTATTATTGAGGTGGGAGGATGACTGGGTGGTTACAGGAGTCAAGGACATAGGAAAGCATAACTACTTCTCCTGACATCTAGTATTGATGATGGTTAAAGACAAAAGGAGTTCCTCTAAGGCTTAGAACAGTGTCACTCCTAGAAAGCCCCCACCTGAAGGAAGAAAGGAAGAAAGAGAGGGAGAGAGAGAGAGAGGAAGGGAGAAGAGGAAGGAGGCAGGAAGGGAAAGAGAAAGAGGATGAAGGAGGGAGGAAAGGAAAGAGGTAAGGAGGAAGTAAGGGAGGGGAGGAAGGAAGAAGGGAAGGAGAGAGGGAGGGGAGGGGCAGGAAGAGAGGGAGGGAGGGGAAGCAGGAGGGAGAGACAGAGAGAGGGAAGGAGGGAAGGAGGAGGGAGAGAGGGAGAGAAAGGAGGGAGAGAGGGTGGGAGGGGAGGGAGAAGGGGCAAGAGAGAGAGGGAGGGGAGGAGGGAAGGAAGGAGGGAGGGAAGGAAGGATGGAGGGAGGGAGGGGAAGGAAGGAGGTAGAGAGGGAAGGAAGGAAGGAAGGAGGGAGGCAAGGATGGAGGAGGGAGGGGAGGGAGGAAGGAGGGAAGAAGAGAGGGAGAGAAGGATGGAAGGAGGGAAGGAAGGAAGGAAGGAGGGAGGGAAAGAGGGAGGGAAAGAGGGAGGGAGGGGTGGGAGGAGGGAGGAGAGGAAGGAAGGAGGGAAGGAGAGGGAGGGAAGGATTGAGGGAGGGAAGGGAGGGAGGAGGGAGGAGATGAAGGAAGGAGGGAAGGAGAG